GAACAGTGTGCTCAGAATTGAAGTCGACGCCGCGCTGTCTATAGTAGACGATGTCTCCTTATAGGAAACGGATAACAGTGAAATTTGTGTAGATTACTTAGATGCTCATGGGCGTGTTCTTATCCTCGTTTCTTTACTGCGTTAGTGGAATGAGGGAGAGGGGGGTTCAGGGAGGGGAGCACTGTCGTGCTGACAAGATCGCAAGCCGTCCCCACCCGGGGCCTCCTGGGCTATTCGGCCCTCCGTCACGCGAGCACTCTGCTCCTACCCAGTGGAAAGAGGCTGAATGCGGTCGGCCAGTTTAAGTAAAGGGGAAGGGTACGGGCACCTATGTGGAGGACGTGTGTTTGGAATCCAACGCGAAGAGTTATAGTTTTAACTACGGTAAAGTGTACTGTTAGTTCTTACCTTGCAGGGCGTAGCGCTTGCTGCGGAGGTCGGACGCCACGCCCACCTTGTCCTTCACGCCGCACCTGGGGATGCTCATCATCTTCAGGGTCTCCGTGTCCAGGTTCCCTGCGGACAAAAGCACCAAGTCAGAGCGGCGGGGATGTGAGCCAATTGGTGCGCAGTCGCTCCGCACCGAGAGGCGTTCGCTGACGCGCTCATGCGCGCGGCTCGTTTCCGTGAAAATGAGTCGTAGTGATGATTTCGAGTGTCGACGCGACGGTTACCGGGCGAAGCGCCACATGTGTGTGTGCTGACGATCCTCACGTGAGTAAGGAGACGCTCGTGACCCGGAGACGCAGAGGAGGGCGACCTCCGGACCCTGATCGCTGCCGGCGCCGGCGCCCCGCCCCAGTGCACAGTGCACAGTGCACAGTGCACACTGCCAGGCCCTGCGGCGGGGCTCTCACATCCGTGTGAGGTGTGGCTCGTGTGGCTCCACGGCGAGCCGCGGGCCGAGCCGCGGGCGTCACCGAACCTTTTTCCCACTGTGGCGTGGCGTGGCGTGGAGGCGAGCCGCGGGCCGAGCCGCGGGCGTCACCGAACCTTTTTCCCACTTTTATACCGAAACGGATGGGCGGTCGCCGGCGCCGTGCGAGTCACGCTGCGGGAGCAGCAGGTGCTCTATCAGCCACTGGCCGCGATAAGGGGGAGCAAAGATACAGGGCAAAAATACAAGGAAAATACACAAGAAGCGTGCACTGAAAATACACGAGTTTGCTCTTCGTGCCTAGTCCAAAGCAAAGGTGGCCTGACTCGGAACCAAACATGCTCCACCACCTCTTTTATTGTTCAACTAAAGGAAAACTCGGAAAGTTCATGCCCTAATCGCCGTTACGAACTTGCTGAGTTCAGCCTCTGCGAGCAGCTTTCTTAGCGCCTGGTGGGTAGGCAACATCCCCCCTTCGGCGCATGCATGTACTGCGGGGTGGCCTATCGTCAATCTCGCAGGCGCTGAGCTCCCGTACTGCTTGCTTCGCCGAATGCGTCTAAGACGTACGGACGACGGTCCGCTAAGAGCCACAGAGGAGAGAAGGCCTGCTTCATTAGACGCTTTCAATCAATGGCCGCAAAATGTGAGGAAAGGGAAAGTGTCGCCGGGTCAGGTCAGGGCGCGAGCAGCAACGGCAGCATCCTCCGTGAAAGGCCGGTGTGCGGCAACGCATAACAGCCGAGCGAACAACCTGGGGCGGCGCGGCCTGGCACGGCGTGGCGCGGCGTGGCGGCGCACAAAAAGAGACCTGGGCGGGATGCAAAGGAGCGCGAATAGCCAAAAGAAACACAAAACAAACATCCGGATTCTGCTCGATCAGGTGGTGGCCCACCCAACGACGGGCTTTCTATTGGCCGTATCGGTGAAAAGAGAAGGGGGAAGGGGGTGGCACAGAGGGGGGAGAAAGAAGGGGAGAGGAGAGGTGGGTAGTGAGCGACCCGCGAAGGAAACAGAACAGGTGGTAAAGACACGCCAAGGAAAGGGGTAATTACCGGTAGCTGAAAATGAAGGGGGAAAAAACAAAAGAAAAGTCGTCGACGGAGCCAGTAAAGCACCGCACACCAAAGCTATCGGCTCTCAGAGAGCGCAGCAGCGTGACATCTGAAGAGGCGACAAATACACAAATAGAAGGCAGGAACCTGTGACACGAATATACCTAATCTAATACTGATTAATGCTTAAAATTTACTCTAGGATGCAAGGTCATAATGCGCGCTCGAAATTGTTTGCCGACAAAAGGTAAAGGCGGAGAGCAGCGCGGTCACAACCAATTATAATTACTCACCCGTGATGTTGAGCCCCACAAAGGACTGGAACTCGGAGATGGCTTTGGAAACGGATTCCTCCGACATGAGGTGGCTCATGGCTGGATTCTTGACGGAGGGGCTTAGGTAGCCGTACTGCGACAGGTATATCTGGAACAGACGACAAGAGCGCGGCGGTCAGTCGAGCGGAAGTAAATGGCGCCCGGTCCCAACCCGGTCCGTCCCCGTCCTCATGGCGGGAGACGGGTAGCCAGGTAGCCGGGTGCTGCTGGGGTACCGAGAAGTGGAACGTTGTGAGGCTCGGCGGGAAAAAATAAATCCAGCAGCAGAGCGGGTTATTTTCATTTGACAAATCATGTCGCGAGTTCCCGCCTGCGATTTCCGGAGCAAGGTATATATAGCCACTTTCCCTAAACACGAAGGCAACCCGCGCAGGCAGGCTCATTGTCACTCCAACAGGTGGCAGGTTGAGTCAGCAGGATGTGGACACAAAGAAATGGGGAGGGCGGGGGACACTGTCCGGGCCGCGGAGGCCACACGGGGACCGAATAGGGACCGAATAGGGACCGAATAGGGACCGATAGGGGACCCCGCCGACTGCGCTGTGTGAGGGGAGGGGTGCACAGACTCTGTGCCGCCGTCGAGTCGGGCCGTCGGCATCAATACACTGGAATTCCTCTCCCTACTGGCCCCTCTTTTTTTTTGCGCTCGGTGGCGGATAGTGACATGGGTTTGAAGGGTGTCGTGTCGCGCGTGGCTGCGATCCCCTGATTGTTGAGCTAGTGAACTGGTCGGCCGGGAATTGCAGAGAATTCGCCGGCCCGGGACGACCCTTCGCTCCGACGCAGTGTCTTATTGCAGCTGCCGTTGTCCCTCCATAGCTCAAAGTCCAAGGGCTCGCCTCTCCAGCACCTCACCTCCCTCCCGCCACTCCAGCGCGGTGCGGCCCCAGTGCCTTCGGCTCTCCGCCGTGGTGGCCCTGCTTCTCCAGCACCTCCTCACTCCAGTCTCTCCAGCACCTCCCTCCAGGACTCTCTTCGAGCGGACGGATCACTTCCTCACGCCGCGATTCCCCGCGACAGCCCCCGCCC